AACCACAGTTAAAACTGGTATGTCCACTGTCACCTTGCAGATGTATCTCCCTGAATCCTCTCTCGTGACATTCGTAATGGTCAAGTTTGAGCAGTCAGACGTCTCCTCTGGCAGAGATCCATGAGAGAGATTCTTCAAGTACAAAATCTTCTTCATATCTGTTTGATTTTCCAGCCACTGAACTCTCAGTCTTTCAAACTCCGGTGTCCAGCAGCAGCTGATGTTTACTGTCTCCCCCTCCACCACAGAGACATCAGCACTCTGGGTAACAGCAGGTCTGCCTGGAGATGAAACACCTGAAGAGACAACGAGGTGATACATGATTTGGCTGTTCATCACAACAACACACACGTTGCATCGTTTCAGAAGCCAAACCAGAAGGTAAATTTAGCGAGTGGTGAGTTTTTCACTTTTCATCCAAATCTGGAGAGGCGCTAAAATAGATCACAGTGATTTGATCGGATTGTTTCACAAGTCAACGACCAAGTAAAGCGGTAATGTCACACCAACCATAAAACAATAGTGGTCACTTCATTACACATTCATACGTTTGAAATATTCAAACATTTGAAACATGTCGGTTTAATGTCTACCGTAAGCATAAAAATGCATTAATTCATGAGATCGTTGACAATATCTTAAAAAATACAGTGATCATAAAAAGGATGTCCTAGTTTTGATATTTTGAGCACACATTTTAACTCTATATCTCTGTGAAACATGTGACGTTAAAGGTTAAGCTGTGTTTGTTACTCACTCCAAGATGAGAGGGCACAAAGAGAGGCGAGTAGCACACTGCTGAGTAGAAGCTTCATCTTTACACTCCGATTCACCGCTGACAACTGACACTCATCTCCTCACAGCAGCTCTGAGTCCTTCCCACCACACACACACACACACACACACACACACACGCTCACACACACTGGGCATCATCTTTTCTACTGCCTCCCTCTGTATTTTCTGCAGAGACGTGTGAAAAACCACAGCTTTTGTTCCTTCCTCCTTCAGATAGAAGGCAGCGATTGGTTCTGCAAAGATAATCATCACTGTTCTCACAATGCAGTTTGGAGTCACAGAAATAGTGAAGTGGCCCACCAACAAAATAGTCCTCTATTTCTTCACAAAGCAAATGGTTGTTTGCTGATATGAATGCTCTGAATTCTAACCTTTAAATCAAAATGCTGGCAAGGTTATCTTTGCGTAGGCCAGCATTCCAACCGAGGTGATATGTTTGGCCTGACTCCATTTCTGACCCTGGACTTAGTCCCTAGTTCACCTGATATATTTTAGTGTCTGTATAGTAAGTTAAATACCAGCATTGGAGCATTCAAAAAGTGTACTGGGTGGTATTTTGTAGTTTTACTTTGGTTAAAACCCTCATGTTTACAGCTGTTAAGTGACTACATGCTATCTTTCACATCACTCTGAGCGTGTGAGTTGTTGTTTGCAGAAAACTGAGACAAATCCGTTGGGAACTGGTGCTGTCTTTAATTAAATGGGTCGTACCATTCATCTGTGTCCAAGGGTCAGATCCATGTAAGAGTACAGGCATGAATTGTTGTGTTATAGTGTATATTTTTAGTGCCACCACTAGGGGTCCTCAAAGTGTGAGAAGACCCTTCACAGAGAGGCTCTAATTTAAGTTTATGGGTCCACCTTCAGACCAAATCATGAATTGTCCCTTTCCGTTACTGAAGTGCTGTATTTATACAGTAAATCATGTATGTTTCAAAAATCTGGAAGAAAAATGATACTTATCCTGTAACCCGTTTCGCATTATTTTTAATGGCATGCTTTCAAGAACACAGCTGAAGTCAAAGCAAGAAGAGATCGAGACAGTGCGGTTTATATTTGACATCTTAATCATCAGCCTCTCATTAAAGGTGACACGTGTTGATTTTCTCTCTCTTTTACTCTGGTTTTATCTCCCTCGCATCTCTTTCCTCTTCTTCTTGGGTTTCCCCTCTCCTTAGGGCTGGAGTGCGTTCATTTCCAGGAGCAGCTGAAACATGAATGCACCGATCGATTATTCATAAACTACGGTAACATGTATGCTGCTGATGTGCTGTGTGATCCAGACACCGTTTCATCACAACGAACTGGAAGCTGTGTACCTGGTGCGTGTTGCTGAGCTTTGGTCACTAAACTATTGATGAAGAAGAAGGTGATGATGAGGGCGAGGATGGGCAGGCACCTCAGGACATAAATGAGCACTTCCTCCCAGTGAGAACCTGAAATTCACCCACAGAGGCAACAAGCTTAGACTACGTATACAACAGGGAGTCCAAACTTTTATGGGGGGCAGCTGTGACATACCTCCTGCTGTGTTGTCCTTTGTGTTGTCTCTGGCCGTAACGG